TGGGGTGGAGGGGGGGGTGGGGGGTTTGTTTGGCAATGTCAGGACGCATCATATGCGGACGGGGGGTTGGAGGGGGGACGCAGTTTGCAACCAGTCAACACATTTTTATCTCCGGGCGAGCTGCATTCCACAGATGTGCGCTCTGCACGCGACCGCGGCAATTATACGCTCACGGGACGTTTTATTAGGTACACCTGCCCCCCATGTAATGACATCCAACGCGGTGCAAACATTCTGCCTCTACAAAGAAAATAATACAATTTTTAAAAATATTATATATGTAGTTGTATTTTGGTGGGAACTTTGTGCAAACGGCATTATTTCGGAAGAAAACGGGCTTTGCTGTGTCTCATTTCGATCCATATTTTCACATACGCACACAAGAAATGATGGTTTAAAAACAGACAACGTATTGGAAACGACATACATACCTGGATATATGATCATGTCAAAATGGTATGGTCATGACTTTGGTTGTAAGAGTGTCTAAGTAACCCTGAGTACGCTCTGTAAAATATTCGGAAAAAAAAAACCCCACAAGATAATTCGTACAATTCATATTTGTAAAAGGAAGAGATACCGACAGTACAGCTCTTGTGTTGCATCTCGTCACATTGTGCAAGTAAGTGACTGGAAGTGATGGATGGCTTTAGACGGCGAGCATGCAGAGGCAAAGACGAAACCGAGTTGGTCAAAAGTTTCCGAGCACCGACCTGTCCGTTCTTGCAGAGGTCGGCCCACATGCTGGTGCCGTCGCCGCCTCTCATCAGCACGTGATAGATGAAGAAGTACGTGCCCGGAATGCTGCACACAAACTTGCCGGCGATGCCGTCATAGTTGTTGCCCAGGTTGGTGACCACGTCGTCAAACTTAAGGATCTCGTAGCCCTCGTGCGGGTTCTTGAGGCCGGCGTAGAAGGCCACCCGAGGTACCGTGCTGTAGGTGGCCGTGCTGATAGCTCCATTGCCCCCCAGACCCAAAATCCCAGTCCTTCCCTGGTCCCGACTGTCTCCCGGAGGCCCCGC